CCCCCCCCCCCCGGTTGTCTTTTAACGTCTTAGAATCTTTGGCAATAAGATGTGTAGAAATTTCAGTCGATGTAAAATTTTACACTTCTAGCAATAGCTTTCAATGTTATTTATTGGTAATTGAGGCTCATTATGGTCCTCATACAATCTAATATCGAAATTTTGTCTTTTTTTAGTTATTATGAAATCTTTATTTAAATTTTTTAATGGTCTCTTTCAGATAGTTCTGATCAGTTAGCAAAGGACGGCTCTGTATCTGATCCACACTGGCGGAGACGCAGGCGCAGGCGCAGACTTTTTTGGCGCAGACGTTTTTGGCGGAGACGTTTACGGCGAAGACGTTCTTGGCGGAGACGTTCTGGGCGCAGACGTTCTGGCCGCAGACGTTCTGGGCGCAGACGCTCAAGGCGAAGAAGATCGTGGCGCAAATGATACGGAAAATAAACGAAGAAATTTTTAAGATCCGTCATTTTAACTTGTGTTTTTATGTTTGCTCTTTTAAAGCGGTTGATTTAGATTGACTGAGAAGGAAATTGGGTTTTTTTTATTTGTATTCTGACAGGGACCTAAATCATTTAGCATTAGACAATGAGCTCTGTTCGCTTCAAAATGGCAAGTGTCTATCCATATTTTTGAAGGATGAAAAAGGAAAGCAAGAGGTCTAAGGATCGTTCCTTTATGATATTCGCAGCTAGGGGGGGGGGAGGTGATTTGTGCCCCATTAGATAGATTATTGGGCTTTAGAGATGGGGTATCTACCACCAAATGTGATTTGTTGTGGAAACTCTATTTTGAAAATGCAACATTATGTGAAATATTTGGACCGGTATTCTTATATTTGAAGGATGAACCTCAATGCCGGCGACTTTAAAATTACCCTGGTATTGCCTCTTTACTTAAAAATACTTAGATTACGTTAAAGTTGTTTTAACGTTAAAAAGATTAGCCAAATTTATCACTAATGATACGAAAATTCCATGTGAGTGAGAAAATACTTATGGCGAGAAACTGAAACTTCAAGAACATAGGGCTGTTACCCTGTATGGCTTGGCGGTATAAAAAATTTTAACCAAAATAATATTTGCTTTAGGATTGGAATAACCTATGAAGAATCTTCATTCTATCTGATGAAATATACTTGCAGTGTAACATTCTTGAAGTTCTGATTAATTTCATACTTGTTGCAGTTTTCGACTTAATTTGTAACAAAAAGGTCACTATTTCGCTATTAAGTAGTATATCGGTGCCAAGAAAGTGCTTTAGAATTGCAATAACCCCACAAAGTGATTGAATTTTTTTCTTACACCAAAATGTTTATTATTTCAATGTTCTAAACGCAGAAATCACCCTTATCATCTTTATCCTGAATATTCCAAAGTACACCCTCGTTTCCTTTTAAACAGTCAGGCTGTTGATCATATAATTATCCAGCAAGTAGAGAGCTCATCCAAAAAGCTGTGAAAAACTGCACAAAGTATGTAACACTGGTAATTGTATATTTAATTTATAGGCTTGCTTCATAACTTTTAGAGATTGTTCAATCTTCATAATTTGCGAAAAATGGAATCTTCCCTGTTTACTTGCTAGGGGGACGTTGTACATGCCCTCTACCTGCTAGGAATTACGTAGTGAAGGTCCAACCTTGAGGTCAAAATCTTAAGAAATCTTACGCAAATTTGAGGTCTAGCACTTAGTAGAGTTGATTTTTGGAAACATTCTAAAACAATTCTCTATCTTTGTTTTTGTTCATTTCTCCTATTTTGAATGATCAGCCATGCAAATGGGTTGCCAAACTCACAGTTAGCAAAGTCAAATCAAAGGTTTCAAAAATCTAGTTAAAGCTCAATTTGGAAAGGAGGCTGAGGGGCAACAAAAATTGTAATTATGAAAATGAAGTTGCTTTTGTCCTATAATGTAGAAAACAGATTTTACATTAACAATGTTCCAATATTATTAGTTTTCCTTTCAAAAATTTACGTCTTTCCAAAACAACCTTCATACAGAATTGGTGAGTTTCATCTGATTATGGTTGATTAATTGAAATAAATCACGTTTAAGATGTGACATGGTACGCTTTTTCGGTGTCCCTTGGGCATTTTGGCACAGGTTGAGCTATTGCGATGCTTTTGTTCATTGTAGCAGTGCTCGAATAAGCATTATATTGTGTCCTTTATATGCCCAAAGCAACAAGCGTTAAGTGTGCATTGGCATTTGGTGTACAGACTGTATGTTCCCATAGTCTCATCCTCACACGTTACAAGACAACCTAGAGGTTTACTGTGGAGAGCCAAGGTTTTTCCTAGCGATGCAAATGACTGAAATGGCACTTTACCTGGTAGCATTCGGTTATTTTGCTAGATTTAACGCTGAAGTTGGTGAGATTATTTTCAGTTCTTCCTCTCAAGATCAATTTTATTAACTTATTCTTAAACAGTGTTTGGGAATGTCTTCTCAAAAGATGCACGCCTATTGCTGAGCAACGAAACGCTCATTTAGTTTACATGCAAATCTTTGAGATGAATTATTTTGTTGTTGTTTGACAAAAGCAGTAACCCAAGCTTGGTGGTATGCCAAAACTTATAAATCAATTACTCATTTTTTTACTACTTTTTACCATCAATCCAGGCTTATCTCAAAACTACTACAAAGATGAATATTTCTTCACCCATGTCATTTTGTTTCGTCTTTGTAATCTGCATCATTGCCCAATGTTTAATCATTTAGCTCCCCTTTTTTAAAGTGTGATCAAAGTTCGGAGTAGCTTAATCTTTTGCCTTGCAAATAACTACTTTCGCTTGCTACATGACACTTTTCAGCTCTCTTGTAATTGTTTTTCTCCAGTTATTCCTATCAAACTTTCTTATGCAAACACCTTTTACGAGCTTGAGCCAATTACTGGGTTCAGGCCTGAGTAGTTTATGCTAGATTAGTGACCCAATATCGACCCCCCCCCTCCCCCATCCCCTCCTGCCCTGCAAAAAAGACAACTGAGCTGTTTCTTGTGAAATGCAAAGTTTTCCAATAGTGGATGATCTTGCTTATTTCTGAGGAAGGTGCGGAGTTAGTTTCCAATGCCATCCTGGGTAGGGTACTGAAGTTCTGAAGTGATTTAGACGTCAAATTCAACAGTTAGAACAGGGTTTTATTTGTTGCCCTAAAACAGTATATATTTTTTCTTTTGGCTTTCTTTGAAATGGTATTTATGTTTTGCTGTGCCGTCTTATCTTTCCTCTTTCGATCAGTTGTGAGAATGCTGTTTAAAATATGCGTTTTTTGCAACATAAAAAGGCCTGTCATTTGGTTGAAACGACTATAAAAGAGCATCAAAACTGGCCTCCGAAACGTCGAACAGCTGTTGCTCTTTGCATTCTGTTCTATGTTTGTCATCTCAAGTTAGGTTTTTTTGCTTTCTTGGAAAGTTTTTAGCTGTGTGCTGAAAGTAACAAATATATGCAAAAAATTTTGCAAAAAGTATTTTCAGCAGTCTTCCAAGTTACTCTCGATTAAAAATGTTTTCCATATATTGATTAAACAACTTACAATGTTTCCTAATCATCGTAAAGCTTGTAATTTTGTTTTTTAGATAGGATTTGATGCTTACTCTCTCTTGCCTTAGTTTTTGCTAGCGAAAGGTGCCAGCATCAGAAACGACTGCTCAATTTGAAAATCTTGGCATCCTGGAACACTTCATAAATGCTACATTTTGTTCAACATCCATGTTATTGGCAAGTGTCCTATATGTGTGGAAGCACTTGTTTCTGGAGGACACAATCCCTTGGTTTCACTGGTAAAGGTCCTCTGTGTGGAGGCTCTTGGTAATGGCGGACAAGACTCTAGGTGTTATGGACAAGTTTTCATACAAAGGCATCTTCATTAGAGATAAAGATGGAAGATCGGTGGTAGTACTGTTAATTCTTCTCTTTTTGCTGACTTCACTGGTGAGTTTTTTTACACCTTTTTTTCTTTTCTAGTAAAATGATTGTACCACATCAAGTTATATTTGAAAGTCTGTGATGAATTGACAGCCGTAACGTTACTAAGGTGGTGCTCTCTCACGGGCCTTATTTTCTTGTTTTCTGGTTGCGTTATTTTGGCGGGTTTCGGGAGCCTTGCTCGTGGCGGAGGATTATTTCCTCTTCTAGCCCCCCCCCCCAACGACAACAGCAACAGCATGGCCTAACCATTTTTCACTCTGTTGTAAAGTGAACATAGCAATGCGATTGCATATAAAAAGACAAGCAGCAGCGGTGTTTTAGTTCCATTTGAAATCTTTTATGATCGAGAAGAAGGAGTTGAAATACAGCTAAGCGTGGAAAAATCAGAAAACTGATAAAGCGGGACATGAAAGGGTCCAGAGAAGGGATCTATCATTGCATGAACACTTTGCGTGTATTAGTAAAGCCAGACATGAGGGGTCTCTGTGAGCATGTGGGCCTAATCTTATCGTAACTTTCTTCCTGTTACCTAAACAGCCATGAAACTTGGTAAACTTACAAAAATGTTTTGCTTAAAATATATAAGTAGTCGGTTAGCTGAGAAATACCCTTTGCGCTATTTTTGGACTTGAGAACGCTACCAACCAACAACTGTCAGTAACAACAACAATTTTGGTGTACCCAAAAACGACCTTTAAAGGTTAAAAATGGCAACTTATTCTTTGATACAGTCTTGCAAGAATATCGTCTTGATATTTCCGATACTAGACACATAACTCACTCCAATTAAATTAGAACTGTGAGTGCCATAATCAAACATTCTAGAGAAGACTGTAATGAAGAAACTGATTTTTATGTTATAAGCTCTATCGTTCAAACGGAAATAAGTATTAACAAAATATATCAGATTGAAATCCTCAGTATTTAAAAATGTATCTTGCAACACAAGAAGAAATAGTTTTGTAAATAAGAGTTTTTCTTCCCATCCTGATCATTTCCAGCAAACAAATCTTCGTATACATCCTCTACGCTTCTTTGCCTGAAGTTCCTCAATGATGTTTTCTTTCTCCGCAACTCTTTGCATAAGGTCCTCGATGACTTCCATCAGTCCATCGTTGTCTTGATGCTTTCTCTCGAAGGCGCTTTTTAAACGTTGGCCATCTTTAGATAGGGTTACATTCGCCTCTTTTAAACTGGTACAGTTCTCTTCAAGCTGCTTTATTTGTGCCACGAACGACATCTTCGCATTGATTCGGTCAGTTTGTTCCTCCAAGAACTTTTCGTGGGCCTCAGTATTTTCCTGGCGCATCACAAGTACTCTCTTCTTAAGCAGTGTGTTGTCTTCTTCAAGCAGTTGGTTCTGCTGTTCAACAATTTGATATTGATCAAAAAGCTTCTTATATTCCTCTGCTCCCTGCTCCTCTTTGTGTTGTTGAAGCCTCTTCACGTTTTCTGCCTGAGCAAGTTCAAACTGCAGCTGCTGAATGTGATCTCTAAGTGACGCAATTTCCCTCTGTTTAACGAGGCCTTCTACGTCATTGACAATGTCATTTAGAAAATTTGTCACTGTCAGTTGCAGCTTTTGATCTTCCATCTCGTTCTTCACTTGGTCGAGTTCAGCTTTAAGATTCTTGTTTTGCACACGCAGACGATAACTCTTGACCTGCTCATCGTACAGCTTTACTTCATGTTGATCAGCCATCTTTTTAACTTTTGCCTTCCACTTTGCTTCGATGGTCTTGATCTTCTCGTGCTTGCCTTCCAGTGCATTCAGCAAAGAGTTTCTATCCACCGTCATTTCGTGGAGCTCGTAAGCCAAAAGGGTAGAATGGTCTTCAAATGTTTTAGCTTTGACTCTCAAAGACTCGATTTGGACTTTGTTATCTTCATTGTTCTTTCTCTCGTCAGCGAGTTGCTTTTGTAACTTCTCGATTTCTTCCTTGAGGCTGCTATTTTCTTCCTTCAAATCTTCTTTTTCATTCGCATGGTAGTTGAAAATCAGAAAATCAGGATAAGATTCGACATCTGTTTGAGATTCCTGGTCTTTGAATGGTGTGCGATGCTCTGTTGTAGTTGGCTGGTACACTAACGCATCTGCTTCTTCGAGATCATTCAGTTCCTAAAATACAATTTTCACGATGTTCAGTTCAAAATAGCTTCTATTGCCAGTGTAGCTAATTAAAACAACATTAAAGAAAACTTCCTATTGCCATGAATTAAAAACTTTGTTCGTTAAAATACTGTTCTCAATCTTTCATCATTTCCATTACAATACTGTTCCATCCACTTTTAGCGATAGGTATGATTTTCTAAGAGCAAACGAAGAATCATAAGGGCTTTTATCTTTTTATTTCAGAATCTTTAGCATCTTACCTCGGATACTTGTCTTGGTGCTTGAAAACTTTCTCGTTCGGTATGCAGACTGTCAAGAAGTTGCTTGTTTGTGCATCGCAATTCTGCCATCTCTGTTGACGAACGATTGCTTCCTTCTTTCAATGCAGCCATTTGTTGTCTCAAATGAACTAGCTCCTCGTTCAGCATAATCATGCGATCCTTCTCTCGCATTCTTCTTCTCTTGTTTCGCGATATATTCGTATCTTCCATTGTTTTCGAGATTCGTAAACAGTGTTTCGATATTGAATCATAAAACATTCTGATAAATATATGGCTAACATCGAATTTATAGCGATTTTCGTCAGTCTGTGACGTCAGATTGATTAGACGTGAAACCGAGTTTGTTTCGTCACAGTAAACTTTGGATTAATCATCCAAATAGAGGCTAAGAGAACAAAGAGCATTGACTGAAAAACCCAGATTGTGCAAAAAACCATAATGGTGACATGTTTCGGATTATTGGTAAAGCCCTATCGTCGTTCCATCTAGCAGTTTTGGAATCTATCTATATAGGCACAATAAAACCGCTATTGTGTAGACAAAAGGAGTTCGTTTTTATCTTAGGACTCCATTGCTAACATCTCAATCGGCAAGCGGAACTGATTGGTCAACCTCAACAGTCATGTTCTCGCGTTTCTGATTGGCCTATTTCGATCCCCAACTGGATATATGTATTTCCTTGCGTAGTGTTTTTGATCTATGTTCTGACGTTTTAAACTCTGAAGAGTGTCAGACGAAAAGCATTAGTTTACTCAAATGTTTTCTTTTTTAAAAGCCATTTCAAAATTGTTCTTATAAGAAATAGTGCACATCGCTTTCTTGGGGCATCAATTTAAGTCTTTGATGGAGAAAGGCATCCACGCCTTGCCGAAGCATAATCGCACGTCTTTGTGATTCTGTATTTCATAATAAAACCAGAGCAATGACTCCATAATTCTAGCCACCGCCCGTGCCCTCCTCCAATGTTACTGGGGAGAACCCAGGTTAGTTTTTGTATGGTAAACAAAGCCGTCGCTAGCGGGAAAAATTCTTATCGGCAAATTTTTCAGAAGTAGAGTTTTGTCGGGTTTTGCTTTCAAAGTTCCCAATGCAATAGCTTTAGCAAACAGTGGGGATGAAATGTGGATAAAACTGAAAAACCGTAAGCCTTCAGCAATTCAAAATAGATACAGATAGCGCTATGGGTGTCACGGAGGGGCAAATATTTCCCAAAAATTTCAAATGACTCTCTGTCGGCAGATTGATTCTAGAGCCTAGCAGACAACTGCGAGCATATCTATGGCCACCTAATTTCCACCTAAAGCTTCTGTTAAGGGAAAGGGTCAAAGTTTATTTAAAAACTCTGAACGTTGATCCTGGGGATACTGGAAGCAAAAATTCTTTGCTCCCTCCGCTCGCAGGAGGCCTCGTCTTTCGGTTTTTTTCCCTAAGACCCCCGAAACCTATCGGCGGTCCCGCCTGTAGTATCTGCTCATACAAACTAGGGTCCTATTTAAATGTGCTGAATTTCATACTCTTTGATCAATGAAATTAACTGCGTCAAAATGCCACGCCCTATTTTGTCGGAAAATTGGAGACTGGTACCCCCGTGAGTGAAAGTGTTTAGCGACGGCCCTGAGGGTAAACAGGTCTTTGATAACGGGTTGAACGAATGTAGCAGCGTGGTTAGAGAGCTTTACATCCAGCCTACGTCCACCAGCAGTGGCGGTTTTAGGGACTTATTTATTTATTATTTATTTTATTTTTATTGATTATATTTATACACAGAAACTCTATCAGCTACTAAGTTTAAAAAAAACTGCGGGGCCCGGGGCCAAAGACATCTGCGGGGCCCGGGGCCAAAGACATCTGCGGGGCCCGGGGCCAAAGACATCTGCGGGGCCCTTGTTCTTTACAATTTCCATCGTTTTTCTTAGGTGTGGGGCCCCTTTTGGCTATCGTAAGCGCAGGGCCTGGGGCCATGGCCCCCCTGGACCCCCTTAAAACCGCCACTGTCCACAAGAGGTAGAGCTTATTCTAAGGAAAATTTCCAGCTCCGCAATTGATCATAATATCTCTTGGCGCCATTCACCTTTTGAAGCCAGTTTTTTGTCAGAGCAAATGCAAACCAATCCACTGAATATTTTATATTTGAATATTTATATCTGTAAATGAATGTAGTAGATCAACTTGTTACGGGCGTTGGCAGGGCCGCCAAGAGTTTTGGTGGTTGCGGTGCAAAATAAGAGATTGAGGCCTCTGCGAGCGAAGCGAGGAAAAAGTTTTTGCAGCTTAAACTTTTAAATAAGCTTAAAAATGCGATTAAGGATTTTTCTTGCAGTCATTTTCTTGTAATTGTATAAAATGGTTTATTATTTTTAGGCATATTTTCGCTACGTTTGATCAATTCAGAATTCTTACAAAGAAATGTGATAAGAAAAATAATTAAATAACAAAACACTTCTTTTTTCTTTTATTTGCTTGTTCAAACTCCACAAAATTTGATATCCAGCTCCGCATTTTGAATTCCAGCTCAAAGAAAAAGACCCAATTCCAGTTTTGAATAACCTCTCTGAAATAAAGCAGTTTTTCAAATAATGGCAACCTGATGTGAATTTTTGGTTTCATTTTTATATTGTCTGGCACATTTCTCGCAACTTGGGTGCAAATAATTTTCTTGGCTTCAGAAGAGTCAAACAATAATTTTATTTGTCATGCGTACATTTTGCCTGGAAACTGTCTGGGATTGTGTATGATTGTGATTTCACAGGCATTGTGTACTGGAGATTGCGGAGAACTGTGATATTTGAAGTGTTTGTTATGTAGTGTTGTGTAGTGTAGCTATTTCTTTTGTAATTGATTCTCCTTTTGTCGTTTCAAAAACTTTAAAGGACATGGTTCATGGAGTTTCCTCGGTTTTCCCAGGCACCGCCCTGTACCCAATCAAACCATTTGTAAAGCAGTTAAAATAATTTTATGGGTTCACCACAATAAGTGTGCTTGCATTTTATACACCGTTGCTTCTTTTAAAAGTATCTAGATTGTCGTTATTTAGTTTACATTTGGAACTTTGAAGAAGTTTATGTATCAAAATGTTACCCAGGCCCATTATTGAAAGAAGCTGAATCGTGTTGACCTCAATATTCACCCAATCGTAAGGTTGCTGCTTGTTAAACGGTTACAAATTCAATAGCTGATTAAGATCTACTTGAAAATAAGACCGCCGTGATTCCTCTTCTTTATTGTTTAGTTTGCATTGCATTTTAGCACGAGGAAACCCGTTTATTTTGGCCAGTGGTAGTCATGGAAACTGGTCATAATATTATTTTATTGACATTTTTTCTTCTAAAGAGTGACATCTAAAGATTGACATCAAAAGATCCGATATAAAAATTATGCCTTTGAAAAAGCATTTTTAAACCGAAGCAAATAAATGCAGATAGAAACAGCCGCAAGAACAGTATCAACGCTGAAAACAAAAAAACGGATTGTTATGAATAGATGCGATTTGCTTTTTCTAGAAAGGCACATTGTTTTAATGCTAACCAAATGGACTTGGGAGTATGGATCAAAACAGCAGAAGGGCGCAACCCCGTCAGCTCTGACGAAATTTTTGCTCAAGTACATCCATACTTTGCTCCAGTATAAACAAGAATGATTCGCCAAAGATCTTAGGCATAAAAAATCGGTACTTGCGCCAAATTTTGGTGTAATTCTTCGGAAAAATATTGGCATAATTCCATTGGCGTGGTCTGACTGTGCTAGGTTTTTATTCAAAAATTTGCCGACGTGGCGAAAACCATGCAAGATTTGCCCTGACGAACTTTTCAAAATAAGACCCTGGGGCAGGGGGCAATGCCCCCTCCCAATATTTTGCGAAAATTGTGATTGAAGAACTCATAAGCGCAGTATTTCGTAAAGTAGGTGAAGAAAAAGCTATATTTCTATCCATGCCCCCAATCCAGTTAAGCAGTTTATAGGCCTGCATAAAAATGAATAAGTTTTAAATGTCTCCCATTGTAAACTAAACAAGAAAAAGAAACGAGATACAACTGGAAGTGGAAGACTTACATGCTTTACAAGCTTTATGCTCATAAAAATGTAGACATGAATTGATATCTAAACATAGAAAGGAATGACTCGATATTCTTGAAAGTTTCTTACTGAAAACTTTTATTTACTGTCTTCAATAGACAAGAAAGGATTTTTTAAAATTGCATTTAGAAATTTGTTCAAAGTAATGTGTGTCGAAAATGCTGGGTTTGTCGCTAAAAGTTGAGAGTAAGATCTTGACTTTTGGTAATTGAAAACTATTAGGGGATGGGGAATTGTTATAAGTGAAAGCTTACATGTATTGCCTAGGATCTTCCTTTCGACAAGCTTGATGTGGCAAGTATTCTAGATGAATTCCTAGCCATCCCTATAGAGTCATGTTTCGAAAAATTTTCTTGAATTCGGCCAGAACTCCAAACCATGGTGGTGGCCTTTATTTAACCCCTGAACAATCTAAACATATCGCCCCTTCCCCCACTTTCATGAATGTTTCGTCAGCCCTGTCTGTGCTACTGATGCTACCATCTTGGTCGCTCAACCAATGATCGAAAATTACATATCAAGACATTTTTGAATAGGTTAGATTTTTCTTGAATAACTTTGATATTTCATTAAGTTCTACCCTGGGTACCAGAGCCTCAGTGATAAATAAAGGTGACCCCTCTAAAAACCATTCGCCATTTTTTATCACTTAGGTCCCCTTTTAAAAGTCATTCAGATAGAAAACAATAATTTTTCCCCCGCTATGTCATGATTTTCTCTTATCTCTTATCCTACGTCAGAATTGAATTTCCAGTGAAAATGATGCTGACCTGGACTAAGAATTGTAGATCCCCCTTGTAAATATTTTACACTTACGCCTACATCCCTGGTGGTTATTAATTTGAATTAATAGCAATATTCCAATAACATTTTAAGCCAGTTTAAAAAAGTGATGCAACAAACAACTTTGGGGATACCCGTAAAATTTTTATTGGTTTTCGGGGCCCTTTCTCGACGACTTGGCCCGGGCCCTAAATTTAGAGCCAGTCCGTCCATGATTCTTTTCTGGTTCAAAGATTTATGATTAACTAACGACATTTATCGCAACTTTCCGCAAACTCTTTTTCATATGTCCGGAGTTAAATAGATGGCAGACCCTTTCAGAAAGTAGGAGAAAAAACAACACAATATCTTTC